CGCACATATTGCCATTTGGCAACCGCAACTTGACTGCCTTATTGCCCACGCCTACGCCCAGCTGTTGCTCTTTCCCCCCTCTCCATCTCCCACTCCCACTCTCGCTCTGCCTCTTTAAATACTTACACACATACAGCCACAGAACTGTACACATTTAAATAATTGAGTTTTGTTGGGCGCTACGCTCAAAAACAATTTAAACACAATGGCTGTTTGCGTTACGGCGCTGAGACAAGCCAGAAGTTGTCAACACGTTCCATGAAGTCACTGCGAGGCCTCTGGGCGTACTTTCATTTCATTTGGTTGCCTGCCAGCGCCTCCCGCGTACGTGCAATGCATTGTCAATGCCGCTTACATTTGCTTACAGACAGCCTCTTGCCTGCCCGACAGCTGTTTGTCCCGGCTTAAACATCAATCTGAAGTAACGTTGCTGCTCTGCGTCTGATTGTCGTTTATTTGCAGCAATTAAACGTTTAATTTGGCCAGACGGCCACCCAGCTAAGCCGCTTATCTCAATGCTTATTAAAACTCTTCACTTTCCGTTGCATACTTTAAAGCGCGCACCACCTGCTTGAAATCACGCAGCCAGGCCGGCCAAATGGGCAGCGGCTTTAGTTGCCCACTAATTTGGGGTCCTGAGAGAATACAATTGGCTAGCTTCAGCAGAATTGTCAACAATGTGCTGTGTGTTATGTGTGTCGCCAGTTCATTATTTCATTGCACGCGTGCTTTCGAAAATAAAATGAGAACTCAATTATTTGATTACTATTGATGACAGCTGATAATTTTACATATTTCAACTAGCTCATATGTCAAATTTACTTCACTGTATTAAAGCAACTCAAACAGATAAGGCGTTTACGCTCTACTTTGAATCTTGGCAGTCTCAAGGTTGTTCCCCAGACATGTGCAAAACTAATTAACAAAAAAAATAACTATTTTATTTAAATTGAATTAAGCACTTCCTCACTAATTGCAACGGTAATTAAATCGCTACCGGCGATGGCATATAATTTGATACTCTCATGAATGTTAAAAGCAATGTGTATTTTTTTTGGGTGTAATTGAACACATAAAATGCTATCTTCTCTCAGAGAACTTTTATCAAAACTTTAGAAGTTTGTTTAATTCGAACAGATTTAAATTTCAAGCAAATTCTTTATTTTATTACTCGATATTTTATTTAGTTTCATGCACACGTACATGAAATTATATTCGATCGATTAGCCACAAATTTAATAATTTTGCATTCTAAGATAAGGACACTGCTATGCAATAATTTAAAAATATACTTGCAAATATATTAGTACATCAGTATTTACAGAGTTTGGACGTTTAATTATGTAAAATTTTATCATATCTTAAGCTCTATGAGTGTTGGGATGTTTTTTACCTTTGTCTGTTATTTTCAACTCATAGCTACACATATTGATATCTTCAACTATCCTTTAAGGCAGAATTGCTATTGCGGCTTGCCGCACTATCGCTGTAAGTCAGTCATCCGGTGCATCGCATTAAACTTGTCAGCAGCGTAAACTTAATATTCATCTTGTCGTCGCCTCATGTTCGAGTCGTGACCACAATGTCAGGCAGCGCAAAACCACGCAGCGACAACTAACGCCATCACCACAACGCTAACAAGTCAAACAAGGGCAATAGCAATAGCAACAACAAAAACAATGACAGCAAGAAACAAGCTACCCTCCGCTGGAACTAAGCGAAATGACATCAAAAAAGGGTGCCATTGTTGACATCGCTTCATTCATTTCATTCGTGGAGGCGGCAGCAATGACGCCTATGGCGCTCCCTCGACTGCTCCCTGTCCCTGTCCATGTCCGCATCATATTGTATATTTATGAACTGAGCTACGATTTTTCAAATGCAATTTGAGCTTTGGCTGTGGTCAGATGGCATCGCTTGTTGCGCTTTATTTCGTTCACTAGCCAGCTGTTTGGTTGGATGTTGAGTTCCTTACCAATGTTTTCAAGTATTGGTAGCCATTTTTTCTGTTAATTTGTGTTCATGCACGTTCTGGCATCGCAATTCACATTGACACTTCATTGACATGTGCCACAATAAATTACAACACTGGCTTACACCAATAACAACAATGAGCCACACTGAGAGCTCCACAAACTGCCAGTTTGTCAATTTGTTTGGCATAGCGAAATGTTGTTGTTTTTTAACGCTTGTACATAGTATATATTAGTGGGCATTAGTATTCGGACAAATTCAGAATAATGTGTTTGAAGATGATCATATTGATATTAGATGATCATCAATAATCCAAAATTTGGTTCTATTACAAATAACATCAGAGTTAGTGACTTTTTTTCGATTAACTTGCAATTAGTTAGGAGTTTATCAAGTCTACGACTCAAACACAGTGAGAATGCGATAAAAATAATTATAATTAAGCTAATCTCACAAGAAATGCATGAAGATTTAATAAAAAATATTTAAAAACAATATACAATATGTTTCTAATTTTTATTTTAAATCGAAGAAACATCCATGTTCATCTTACTTAATATCTTTTTCGAAGAAGTGGTAATTTATAATTGTAAGATTGTTGGTTGAATAAACGTTAGCATGTGTTGCACAAGCAATATAGTTGCTATATAAGTATATAGTACGACATAGAAATGTAATCAATAAACTTCTGCTGACTACTGCATTTCGGTTCCAATTTGCTTTGATTGAGTGTGAACTTGTGCGTGACAATTTGGACTGGCCTTACTCCAGTGTCAACTGTTTTGTGGGCCGAACTGGGCTAGAGCATAAATCTTGATACATTTCACTTAATGCCCGCATTATTTCCACACATTTTGACCTTTGACGCTAATGGCAATCTGATCAGTTTCATTGGCATGCATGGCAACAGTAGCCACAGGCATTTTGGCCCTCAGCCCACTTTTTATGATCTGAAACCCGCCCTCGGCTCATTCTCCAATTTCGCGCTAATTAACTATGTGCCAACTATGGCAACTAAGTTTTGTGCTTGTGCTGGAACTTTGCCAGCAGATACCGAGTCTAGTCATGCTACATATAGCTAGTCTGTTTGTGGGCGTATGCGTGTGTGTGCGTGTGTGTCTGTTGATGCTTGTTGCCAACAATAAGAACAGCAAAAACTACAACTAGACCGCCAAGGACAACTACAGCAGCAACCCAAAGTTACAATTTATGAGCAAATCCTTGCACGCTTAGCTCATGAAATCGTGCCTGGCTGCTTCCTGTTCCTATACCTCTGTCTCACATCCCTAAGCATCAACATTCGCTTACAAGCAAACAAAACACTTGTAACAGTTTGCTTTACATGTTCCGCCCACAGTCTGTCCTGACGTTCCGCCATCCCGCCTGTGTGCTAAGGTTGTGCTCAACAATTTCGCAGGAGCAATTGCAGTTGGGTGATTTTTGAGATTAGAACGGTCGTCGTGTGTCGACTGCAGTTGGAAAAGTTGAGCCTCTGCCTCTGCCGCTGGCGTGTTGACTGAGCAACTAATTTTCATTTTTCTAATTGCAATTTATGTTGTGTCTGCCATTATGTGAGCTGCTTTGTTGTCATCCATGAAAATAAATGAAATCATTTCAGTTGGGAATCAGAATTTCATTTACTGTAAACATTTTAACGTCATCGTATCTTTGCCCAGATGCGTAAACTGAAATCGTTCGCACTGAATAAGTGCGAGTCGAAAAATTTTTATGGACTTGACTCAAATCTTTATCGTTATGTGAGTTGCAAGAACTTTGCCATGCGTATGATGCCATTTCTGCTCCCCAATGACTTTCAACGAAGGCGACTTGGGTTTCTGACCATATGAAATCGATTCGTATATATACATATACATATACATATATATATATATATATATACGAATTTATTTGTATGTATATACGAGTATGTTAAGCTGCTTGCTTTTAGCATTTCTTTGACAAAGACTAGTAGAAGTGTCGTATGTTCAAAAACTGCAAGCGTTTCAATATTTGTGTATATACGAGTATAATTTTTTTTGGATTGCATGCAATTGCATTAGTGGCATGTGTGCCATTGCTGTTTATAGCTAATGTGGCTAGCTTTGCAGTTTTTGAAATAAATGGAGCGTGCGATTAATAAACGAAAAATTGAGGTTGGCCATTGTTCCTTTAAAATATTTTCAGTACACACTAATGGGGAAAATCTTATATTTTTGTTTGACTTTCATATTTAATTTTAGTTTTTTACATAGTTTTAAATCATTTGTGAAATAAGAATATTGTTGTTTGAAGAGAATAAGATTTGTTTATTTTAAAAACTTTTCAATTTGATGATGAAATAATTAATAATAAAAAGTTCTTCATTTAAATGAAAACATAACTAAACGAAATTGATTCTCTTCTTACAACAATTAGTTTGTTTTCCATAATCCATTTAAAAATATTGCATAGCCATAAATCTAGCGTATCTTTTGATAGTGCTAATAAATTGTTAAAAATTCCAAGCTCAGACTCGAGACATACAAATTGTTGACTAAAGTATCTGCACAAAAAAGTTAGTGCCAAGTAAAATTTAAAAAAAACATGCAAAAGTTCAACTGGTACTGATACTTTAATATACCTTTACGAAATAAATCGCCGTCTGATTCATAGTTTGCCCTCAAAAACACGTTAAATTTCTCTTGAGAGCTCGCCCATTAACAAAATGTGTACAACATGCAAAGGAGCACATTATATCCGCCCAATAAATTACCGCAAGACCTGTTTACCTTAGCTCCCCTTCTCCTCGACAGCAGGGCTGTTACGGTCAAGTGGCTCCCCACTTTTGAGTGCAAGTTTATACAGAGCTCTTGATTTTTTTATCGTAGGCATATTTATGGCCTCGCTTAAGTTTCGTGTAAGCTGGCGGGCATAATTTAGTCGTAGTATACTTTAAACGCAAACGCGTGCAATTTCAAGTCGCGTCAATGACTAATCACATTATATTATATATATTTTTTACTCTCTTTTCATGTCGATGCCAGCAGTTGCAATTGAAGTTCCAAGCAACCGAAAACAGCTGTAAGTTATGGGCAACGCTAATTAAATACGAAGGAATGAAGGATTTTCCCAGCGCACGAAAGTATGCTTTAAATAAAGTAACGGACTGTGAACAGAAAAACAAACAAAAAAATATAAAAAATAATTGTATACGCAGAACTGGTTACTAATTTAAATTGAGGGGCAGTTAGAGCCCTAACCAAAGCCAAAATATTCACATTTCCCCACTAACCAAAATGTGAGCTGCGAGTTCGAAATAAATAATTCTGTCAAAGCAAACACATCAGGCCATAACAAAAATAACAACTACGAGCTATAGCAACATGTGGCTTATCTAAAGCCAACATATACGGCGATATTTGCACAGAGGTGAACTAAATCTGTGTCAGTTTTATTTACGCGGCGCTGAATAAAAAAGTTTTGTATGCATGAATGGCAAATTCAAGTTTAATTGAAGCGCACGGGTAAACAGCAGAAATGGACAACAGCAAAGCTACCAACAGCAGCAAAAACAACTATAATTCCAGCAACTGCAGGTGCAAAAGCAATAGCAAGAGCAGTGAAAAAAATAGCGACTACAACAACGTAGCCATGGATACGACTAAAAGGCGCATTGAAATGACTTAAAGCAGCTTAAATGCGTACAAAAACAAGTAAAACAGCACCAGAAAATACAGCAACAAACCAAAAAGTAAAAAGCTCAGCACACACGTGGCGTATGCGTGATTAATTGCACTTTCGCACCAAACACAAGAGTCTAACCGTAGTTTCAACAACAACAACAACAACAACATCAGCAGCAGCAACAAATACAACACCTACAAAAGCTGTCAAAATGTTGCCAACAAATGTGATGACATTCATGAAAAAGGTGAGTGCAAACAAAATGGTGAAAAGTGTTGGGAATGTGGGCTTCGATTTTAAATTAAAGAATCTGAGCCTGACTGTACCATGTGCCGCAGGCTTATTCACAGGGGCAACTACACCGTACAGTGTAGTAGTCAATCCTCTTTTGTAAACGTTGCTGCTTTTTTTGTTTGAGTATTATTTTTGAAGAAGTCCCATCCAAAGGATCTCCCCACGAGATCCCTTGTGTAAAATATATATATAATATATAATATCATAAAATATATTTCATATTTAATCTAAAATATTGTAAATATTCCATTGTATATATACATGGATGTAAGTGCGTCCTATAGATGCATACTATGGCCAACTCTTTTATTCCCCATTAATTTTCAACTAGCTTAAGCTGCCTTATTGGTAGCAGAACACTAGTTTAATAAATTGTATATAATTAAAAAAAAAATATATATATATATTTTTTTTTTGAAATAATACCTAAAGTTGGTTGTCATTTTATGAATTTATTGTCAGGCATAGTTTATATTAAAAGAAGCGTATAAAAACACAATTTGAAATATGTATATTGACAGTTTAGATTAAGTGACAGTATATATTGCCTTAATTATGGAAGTACTCCAGAAACTACAGGAAATATTACCACATAATAAAGGGGGGGCCTGGCATAGCTCAACGTGCTAATCAACGACTTCGGCCCACAATATGTGTTCGTTCCTGAGTATTTGATTCGCATTGAATATATTTTTTATATCAACTCAATTATATAAATAGTCTTTAACTGTACGTTATTTTATAAGGAAGAAATATTTTTATTTTATTTTTTAGTTTTTTTGAGTTGACTGCTCAATTTCTATGCTTGGATGACAGTACTGACATTTATAATGTTAACGTAAATTTATTGTCCTTAATTCCTTGCGTTAATATGGATCATCATCAAGAAAGAAAGATGCTGTTTTGTTGTCATTTCTGCCATTATTTCGGATAAAAATCGGACAAAATCCAATGCAATGTTATTCTAAGCCAAATTGTGTGTATTTTTTTTAACGCAAATAATTTAATCGCAATTAATAATTTATTTAGATTTAATTTGCCAACTTCCTTTCCGGCACACCTGCAATATAAATATACATTACACGACTGCTTAATTACATACTCCGGGTAGCACTAAAATATTAATGAGCAGTGTGCCAATTAAACGCAGCAAAAACAAATATAATTTGTTTTTATTTCATAACTTTTGACGAGCAATCAAATATAAAAACAACCTGTTTTGCTTTAAGCCTTTTGGGAAGAAGACCCCAGCTTGTAGGCTGCCCAAATATTTTTCAATTTATACATACATTCGCGTACATAGGACTGTATGAAACAAAATGCAAACAGTGCTAAACAAAAATAAGCAAACTTTTTAATTAAAAAGTCCGTTAAGCTCCTCAACGCCGCTTCAACGACTTTGGCCGGCCATTGGCGCATTTATTGCCGTACTACATAAAAAAAAGTATAAATATCTTTGAGCTGTTCAAAGCGATTCAATTGTCTTGCCCAGAGCTGCGACACCTGCTTGACTGTCTCAGGACCATACTTTCTAAATTGTGTGGGCACAATGGAATTTTTAAAAGGAAAACATAAGTGAAGTGTGAAGAAGGGAATTAAACATGAAGAGTGCGGGTCGCGCAAAAAGAAATATATATAAAAAAGAAAACAACAACACAAAAGGAAATTGGGGCCACAAATTCCGCCCTTGCCGCACTGAAAGTTGAAATGAAAATTGTGTTAAAGCGCAAATTCCACAGAAATTTGTTTTCGGGGAGGCGCACAAATTCTTGAAAAAGTTAATAAAAGGTCAGAAATTTGGAAGTAGGAGTTGTAAGATGACAAGCAAATATGTCTACCGAAAAACTTTGGTTACCAACGCTGTTGCACAATAAGTGCGACAGACGAAAATGTTCGTACTCTTCTTAGATCAGAGATACTGACTGTGATTTTCCATTTGTGGGAAAAGTAAAGGCTAACTGAAGCTTACGAAATATATTTATTTATATTTCGTGTTTAAATGCAGTATAATTTACAAAAACACTTTGTTTTTCTATTCTTAAAAAACATATCTATTTAGAATCTAGTAAGAAAATTGTTTACATAAATGAGAGGGAATGAAGGTAAGTAGTATGTGAATATAGTACATACTTGTTTCCAAAAAAGATAAAAGAGTATAAAGGTTGCGCAGTTTCCAGTTTGTTTTTCAAACTTTTTTTTACTTTGTTCACAAATTTTCACTTGTTTGGGAGTTAGACAAGTTTGATTAGACCAAATGAAGCATAAAATCAAAGTGCAGCTCGAAAAAATACAATGATGATGTGCTGATGACATTTGTTTATCCGTCCGTTTATACTTGTATAGTGGCAGCTAGTCCAAGAAAAAGGTTTTTTAAGTATTTGTTTTTGTAAGTTCTTCTTTTATTTGGGATTTAAATTGAGCGCCTCATAGACACCCAACTGTGTGGACTTGTTTTGGCAATTGTCACAAAAATTGGCAAGCACGCACATCAAAGACAAACCGACCGAAAAGCAGCTAAGCACGAAAATATTTCTTCAAAGCGATTCAGATAAGGAGGACAGAGGCAGCTAGACCGGGCAGAATGAACCAGCAGCTTCAGCGCATGCTGCAATTTATTTACCGTCATTTTCTTAATAGTTTTTCTCGCACACTTATACTCACACACACACACACACATTTGATTGTGGTTGCAACTGGCTGCGGGTGCCTGCGGTAAACATTGACCGCACACACTCAGGCACAGACACATAAGCAACCACGTACCGTCCAAAAGCAGTGCAGAGTGAGTGCAGTTCATAAGTATACATAACTCACATTGATGTGGGTGTGTGTGTGCGTGTGTGTGTGCGTGTGTATGCACATCTTTGCATATTAAACAAACAACTGCCACAGTGGCAACCAAATAAGTAAACACATGCGTGCCAGCTCTGAAAACCGTTCCACATTTTGATTCAAAGCTAGCAGTTTACAGAGGCAGGGGTGCACAAAACACGCAGTCACGCAAATCACGCCAATCACGCACACAAAACCAATTGCCATCATTTTTGCCAGTCACTGCACTGAGAGAAACTTTGTAGGTGCATAAACATCATTTATTTTTATAAACTAAACTAGCAGCCCCAAGCTTAAGCTCTGCTTAACCATAGGAAAATACAGAATATTTATATATCTATATACTTTTATATGTCTATATACTTTTAAGGAAACGCTATGACGTCACACCTGTATTTAATGGTTATTCATTTGTGTTTTTTGAATGTTATTCGAATTGAATACGAGTACCGTTTTAGTTGGATTTACTTGTAGTTCCGAATTACCCGAATTCGAAAACTATTATTGTAAGAGAAATAAATTAGACTAGAATTATGTCTGATTGTGTAGCATAAATTAATTTTTGAAAGACTGTCACCTAAAGTTGAATTTTTGTTTACCCATCTATTCTCTTTACCTTCAAATATTTATAAGTATACATTTTATTTTAATTTATTCAAATGAAAATTTGTACAGTAATCGCATATTTACATTTAATCTATCATATCTAAAAAGTCAAGCAGGGCACCTATGACTAAAACACATAATGGGCGCATTCATTTTAATTTGCCTGTTTAATTTGTTTGTTTAATTTAGTGTCTAGTGAATGGCTTAGTTTACTGATAGGTACAAAAACTGTGGTTATGGTTTTTTAAACAAAAAAAAACACAGTCGCAGGTAAAAATTCAACTTAAAATTACAAAGCAAAACTTTCTGCCAGAAATTGAAGTAATTGCCGATTGCTTTTAGCCGTTGTGAATGATTTTTCTAATCACAAATCGAAATTACCTGGCGAATGCGCCCAATGACTTATTTTAAGCATCACTTACAATATCTTTCGATTATTTATGTGGTGCTCTATTTGATAATCAATGTCTCCTGCTATTTCTCAATTTACATCCACTAGAAATAAGCAAGGGAAAAATAACAATCACAGCCATTCAAACGGGCATTACTCTCTTTTATAAAGCCACAACAGGTATATGTAACAAAGTAAATAAAATGGTGATGTTAATAAATCTTTTTAAGTAGCAATGAAATTGCTACAAATTTCCTTTCAATGGAATTGTTTTGAGTGAATAAAATCAGTTCTATGAAAGGAACAAGCTATACATATCTTGAAACACTCCTTGTATCTCAAAAAAAAGTTCATACAATCATAATGTGTATCCGGTCAAATTTTTTGCTGCATCATTTCCAATCATTTATCAAATTACTTACAAGTATATCGGGATATGTTATTTTTTTTATTATTGTACAAAGTTTTTTCAAGTATTTCATTTTCCTCCATGGGTTATCCTTTTCTAGCTGGTATTGATTTTTGCATACCGCGTTGTTCGTGTGCTTTCAATCATGCAAAGCGTATGCATCGTTCCACTTTACTTCAACCAAAATGTTTTGCGACACACTTTGCGGCCGTAAAATTTCGCTTTATTGTTGTTGAAGCTGCCGTCAACACTCAGTTACTAACACATCGTTCTCTGCGACACGTAAAACTATTTATACCACCAGCGCCATATAAGTGTAACACACTCATACAAGCGGCATAAAGTATGGTCCATGATGTGGCTACAAGCGCAAAAGAACATAATAAATGACAAAATTAACACGCCAGTAATTTTGTGTATATGGCTACGATAGGAGTGGGTGTAGGTGCAAGTGTGTAACAAAAACAACTAAACGCAAAAAAAAAATGTAGTTTTTCATGCTCCCTCTTTCCATCAGTTACGCCAAGGCCCAAGAAAAATGGCGCAAAGCACCTGCGTACATAAATTAAATGTACAGCTAGAGGTGCGGGCTGATTGCTGGAAGAGAAAAACGCAGCTTTGAGATAAAAGGCCATGCAGCATTCCTTGTGGTTTTCCTTTAAAATCAAGCAGCGATGTGAGAACCAACTTAAGGTGCAGTCGGGCCTCGCTGTAGCATGAACTTGTTTGTTGCGTTTGTTATCATTATAACGGAATATTATTTGACTGTAGCCAAGTAATCCAGTCAATTTATTAATATAAACATTCAAATGCTAACAATTTGTGTGCCATTCGTATAGATAGTTGGGAAAAAATTAAAATCTTAAAAAAAAAGTAACTCACAATATAAAATGTCCAAAGTATAAAATAATCCATTAAATTAAATTTGAAAGTTTATAAAATAGGTTAAGTAGTTTAATCAAATCTTGTTAAATTTTACACAAAGTTAATTGTATGTTTATGGGACTAATGCATTAATTTTTTAGAATTTTTCTTGTGATAATAGTAAAGAAATTCAAAATAGATGACACTATAAAATTTCATTTCTTTATCAGACAAAATATTTTATATGCGCGAAGAGAAACTATACTCTGCAGGATTGTGTGATCGACGAGCTTTGGGAATATTACATTGTCCCAAATTACAGTTTCTGATGACTCAAAGGGATATTTTCTTGTTGTAGACAGCTTTGCAAATACGATTTCAATGCAATTCCTGGTTCATGGACAATGGCTGGCATATGAGAAATTTATTGTAGCAATTGTTTAATTACAACATTTTATTTGTATTGTAATTTTTGTGTCGGATGAGCGCACATGTATGCCTACACATATGTTCGCCCCCCCCCCCCGGGCATATTAGGCATTGTGATTGAGGACTGTATGCTACGCTAAGTGTTCGACGTGAACATGAACCAAAGATGAGCAACCACACCAGCACACAAAGGCCCCAACATGTGTACATATTACCTTTTGCCATTTGTTCGGCGGTTGGCGGTAGTTGGTGCTATATACAACAGCCAAAAATGACATCATCAAATATGTAGCGGTACGAAAAAAAGAGACCATAATCTGACACCAGGCAGCGCTTAGTTGAGCTCTGCACAAAGGTAGGCAAGTCAATATGTTGCAGGGCAGGAGGCGGGCAAAAGCACTTAGCGTAATTTGCACAGTGCGTGTGTGTTCGGCTGTATGCGAATAAGTGTGGCCTTCATAGACAAGTGAGTATACAGCCTCATCTCTATCTGTGTCTGTTGTCTGTTGTCTGTTGTCTGTTTGTCTATCTGTGCATGTGAGCGTTAGCGGCTTCTGTGGCTGTTTGTTCCGGCTTGGCATCGGCTGCTGTTTCGGCAAATAGAAAATTTCCACTTCATAAAATGCTGACAACGCCGAGCGCTTATGTTTGGGATCCTGCTTACTCACTACCAACAGGCAACAGCCAGCAGCCAACAGCTATCGTAGTTGTGGCTGTTGTTTTTAGTATTATGGAGTCTGGTTGGGCGTATGTGTTCGGAGCGCGCATTAAAAAGAATGACGGCAATTTTTGAAAACGGCTCTACTGCAGGCCCTGAAGGAAACAAAATGAAGAAAAACAAAACACAGGGTTCGACCTGCGTACCTGGAAGTTTAAGTAAAAATAACCTGCCACTTTTTACGCTCTCTTTGAGGCACTTTGGGGCCGTCAAGAAATCAAATAAAAAGCCACCAGCAACTGATGCGTGTGGGCGAATTATTTTCACCTGCGTGCTTCGTCTGGCATGACGGGCACTAAAGTCGTATGTACATTGCTGGTCCATCGACATAATAAAAATCATTTACGCAAATTGTGCATGACTTGAGTGAGAAGACAAATCAAATAAAATTAACAACAGTCAGGCAGAAACAAATATTACGCATCCACATCAAACAAGATTGCAACATTTGCTGAGCTCATTTCACCTTATTTCATTTCATATGGCGTATTGTGATACTTAACCACAAGTGTGAATTTATAAATGAATGATGGGAGTGAGTAACATGCCAAATTAATCAACTCTCAGAGAAGAATGCTTGCGCCTTATTTTCAAGAGAACCACCAAATTGTTGTATTCCACATACAACGATTCCGATTGTATGCCATTGTAGATAGTTATTACATTTGTAGACTTATAATATCAAGATTTGTCGATGCTATTAAAACCCGCAAGGAATTTATGGTTTTTGTTGTTTGCAGGTGTGACTAAAACAATATAGCATTCTTGTATATAGCCACAGAAAATGTTTCCATATTTATCTTGGAAATACCTAAATTTCTCGTACGTCCATCCATCTGATATGCAAAACAGAATTTAATAATATTTGAATAGACTACACGGAAAAATGAGAGATGCGCCATGCAGACAACAATATTTGAATACAACTGTAAATATTGCAAGGAAAGTGTTGTTGTTTATTATCTATTTTGACGCTCTTTCAAACGGTATTCGCATTTTTTTATATCTCACAACCTTCTTTACAAAATAGTGCAAAAATTGGGTATATTAAGATACTTGTAAGTAGACCATAAAAGAAAATAGTTAGATTTGGCTGTAAAATCCTAAGACCAGTTTAAACCTAAACGTTTTAAATCAGCACAACTTTTGTGGTAAAGGAACGTTGTAATATAATCCTTAAAATAATGCAACGTCAATTTTATGTCGTTCATCATAATAAACATCTTAATTTATTTGTCAATTCAAAGCTGTTACCTCAGACGACCATAGCCTTGCAAAACCAATTTAGTTGTGTAATACAAAAAATATGGTAATATTTCAAATTAAATTGTCATCTGCAATAATGTTTCGTGTTTCCCTTCTATTGTTACAGATGGTCGCCACCGATGAGCAGACAAATGAGCGGCAACATCATGCAACGGACTCTGGTGGCGGAGCATCGAACACAGGAGCATTGAACAAAATGAAAGCAACGTTGTCCTCATCGCTTCTCACGGTGACCGACAAAGGTAAGCGATTTGCAAAGGGGTGAGGGAAAAGTTCTTGCTTCTTGCAAAGTGCATCATAATTTATGTTATGGTATAAGTTTGTCTGTAAGTGCTCATAAAGCTGTTAGGAAAACTACGGCAGGAACTTTTGCCATTGCGTTGCTATGACAAAACCAGCTGGCACAAAAATATTACGTTGTGCGAGTGAAAATATATGTATACTATACTTGTAAGTGTGTATGGGGAGTGTGTGTATGTAAATGTAAGGTAACACAAACAAGGGAATGTAAGCTCTCAATCTGATTTTTGCTCTGCTTCACCTTCACCTCGAGCATTTCTTTGTTGTTGCAGAGGTGGCAGCTAACGGTGCGTATACGCAATTTTTTCATATTTTCTCATTTTACTGCACTTTTCATTTGCCACAACTTCAGCATGCTAAGTGCACCGCATTTTTCACATTCTCTTCCGCTGCTACTGAAGTGCACGTGCTTTGCTTTTGTGCCATGAAAAATGCAACCTAATTAAATTAGCCAGCCAGCCAGCAAGCCAGCCAGGCAGCCAGTTAGCCAGCCACCCAGATCGCTGGAAAATGCAATAATTCAACCCCTCATAATCGCAATCATCCGCATTGGTATTGCCACAGCCACTACAACTTCCCATTTGGCATTTCAAATGTAGTGACGCTTTACAGATTTTAGTGGCTCTGAACTAGCTGCTTAGTTCAAATGGCGTGCCATAACACAAATCCAAAGTCAATAAAAACGAGCGGACAACGACAACGACCGGCTACGACAATGGTAACAACAACCCAGCAGTGCAAATCACAACACGAGACTCCACAAAAGCCAAGGAAGTGGCCCTGACACTGCATTGCTACTGGCCCTGGTACTGGCGTTAAAATCGCAACATGAATGTTGTGTTGACTTTGTTATTTTTATCGCATTTTAGTTGGACTGGCGACTGTCGACTGGCGACTGCCGACTGAGTTGGGTTTCTGCATTTGAGTCTCGGAGCCGGAGTCTGAGTTTGCTGTTTGCTGATTTTATTGCGGAGATTTATTAGGAAGACATGAAATGATATTTTATGATATTTATTTAGTCAGTCTCTGACTGTGAGCAGTCACAGTGGCCATGTCAGTAGTCGGAGAGATGTCGTAAAAAACATGCGAGAAGCACGAATATAACTTGTGAGTGCCTGTTGTTTGTCACACAGCTGCGAAGGTTCAGGTCCACAGCGCGCCGCTTGTTAGGCATCTATAATTTGTTCAAATATTTTGCTACTTACACTTATGCTTCTTTCTGTAGCTTTTCCATCTCAACAGATTTGTATTTGCAGTAGATTTTTCGCATACATTATTCCTACTCAAATATACATAGCTCTTTAGCTAATTAATTGGATGCTTGATGGAGCTTTGTTTTTTGAAATATGCAACAAAGATTATTAGAAATTTATGTACTCCTTCAATTCATCAACTAGTTATTTGTTTTGATGAAAATTTCCAACTAATGGCTAATCCCAATGGGGAATTCTGTTAAAGCCACCGAACTCAGAAATGCTAGCAAGAATAAACCCTTTTAACTTAATTGAATACAAAAGTTTGCCATCATCTGTATAATGAGAGGGATTTTGGAATATAAACTCATTTTAATTTCATTGCATGAAATACACAAATACACGTTCCACAAAACTAAATTGGGCGAAGTGCTGCCACTTATTAAGTAACAACTAGAAGCCAAATGAAACAATTTGCGGTTAAAACTATTTTTACAATATTAACACGATGGCTTTTTATAGGTGTTTAAAAATATTCTCTGACCTGTTTATTTTAACCGTAATTTGACGTGGAGTTGTGTTTTAAAATACAATTCCTAAATTAGCACGCAGCCATTTGCATATTTTTATGGCCAGCCAGCTGACAGCTGACCAAACACTGACCACACACCTGGGCAGCAGGGCCAACAAGCTGATGCTCATGCTGCTGCAGTTGATGGGACTGAACACATTGTGGTCTGTTCGTGGGCAGTTGTTGCAACTGCAAGTGACAGCAGGATGTACAAGTAGAGAGGCCTGAAATTCGAATTAATTGCAATGCATTGTGGCAGTGGTGTGTGTGTGTGTGTGGAATTGAGAAGGGGTGGGGGCAGAGGGGACTATTTTAAAACATTTACTCATTTCGTTTCTTCCACTATGCTATTCACAGTTAATAAAATGTCGCCACGTCCCTCGATGGTTCCCACGGACGCGGATACCAGCGGCAGTTATGGCTCTTCCAGCTACCAGCAGCAACAGGACGCCAACACTAACAATGCGAGCAGCAATCTCAACAACAACAATAATAACACAACAGCGACTGGCAGTGGGCCAGGCAGCAAGCAACAGGAGCCGGGTCGTCGAGCGGGTGCATGTAGAGTATGCCTGAAATCCTTCAAGCCAGATGACTACCACAAGACGTGCTTCGAGTGCCAGCAGCGTGTGTGCGAGGACTGTGCGAGCTACAGCAAGCTGGACGACCACGAGGATGCGGTAAGTGGGACAACAGGGGCATTGGCATTGCCATTGGCAGGGGAAAGTTGGTGCAGCTTATAGTTCTTCCCATGTACTGCACTGCATTTCGGACACACTTTCCAAGCCAGCAAGCAATTAGCATAGCTAGCCAACAGACACCGGACGAACACAAGGCTGGTGGAATGGGATGGCGCTTTAGCTGCCTTGGTGACCGCGACACTTGCATCGTGGCTCGCGTGGATGCTCGCAAGACAGAAATAAACACAAACTAGCGCAGCGCTTAATTGATAAGAAACACAAAGTAAACAGAAACCAAAGCCGCAGCAAGCGACTTTGGTGCGAGTCTGACGTTCATACTTGTACTAGCGATGGGCGTGTACTGTGACGTGAATGAGTGGACGATTTGAATGTAATGGAAATAACAATTTAATTTCGGATTTACACGATAAATGCGGACTTACTTGTAGGAGAGAAGAAAATTTCAAACAAGTTATGCAGAAGTTATTGGGAGTTAAATTTAAAGGACTCGTAAAAAAGTGTTTATGAGATTAAAGACAGCGGCACATGAAGAGTTGGAGAGATTTGGAAACTACGTGAGAATGACGTCAACAGAACCAATATAAATGCAGCCGTAAACTAATAAGACGCTTGGCAACAGAGTAAAAATTACTTTTATAACAATATGTGAAATATAACAAATGAAATATTTCTTAACAATCTGTGCAAAGGCTGACACAAACGTCTTCTAAAAATGACAGAACTGTATCTTGAGATACAGACCTGGAAAATATAAATATTAAAGCTAGATACTCGTATAATTCATAAAATGGAAAATTGTGTAATTGCAGTAATTTTCTTACGAAAGTAATCAGTAATTTTCATTGGAAAATTATAGTATTTTAATTTGAAACAGGGCAAGGCGTAACTTCTCGAAGGATTTTAGTTTGCTCAGAGCTAAGGCAGCCTGCAACAATTAGGTAAATAACGTAATTGTTAAACATAACACACGCTTTAACTGTTACTTAGAAGCTCCAGAAGGTATTTCCACTCATCTATAAAAATAATGTTGGTAGTGAGTAGTACCAGTGAGTAGTACTTGAGAAGGGATATAATTTTTGCATAATCAATAAGCATTTCAGTATTAAAGTATTAAAAGGAAGTTTGAGATTGTGAGGCATATATTTTATATTCTGATTCTGCTATACCTTTTGATTGGAGAGGGTTTATTAAATTTGCAGCATAAATTTGTTATAAAATATATTTACAAATTTATGGAAAAAAATCTAAAAAATCTAAATTGACCAAAAATTGCGGAGTTAATTGAAAGAATATTTCACATGAGTCGTGAAAAGTTTAGTGTGCGATAGTAAAATGAATTTTAGTATATTTGGATAGATGCTTATGTATGTATAGTATATCACGCGGCCAACTATGGCAAATTCTCCCGCGGCTGCGGCTTCTTTGGCAACTACAATTAACTAAAATGCCGCTTGGGCGACTGCCAACAGCGGCAGTGATTGTATGGGCGTTGACAGTGGTTCGTGGGCGGGGTAACTGACATTAATCGCAGCACATCACGCCGCTGTAACCGCAACCCCTGGCCAGGACACAAATTAGTTTACATTATGGAAAGCACGGACTTGGTGCAACAGGCACAAAGGCGCCAGCGTGCCGGCTCCGAGTTTGACTTAACGTTGCCTTGTCCGCGGGCATCAACAGGATAAAGGCAGATTAATGTGATTACTTAAATAACATTCACAGCACCAAGCGGGGCAACTGGCCGCTGCAATGAAATTCTTGTGCAGCCACTAGCTATGCACTGACCATTACCTTGTTGCCTGTGTAGTCGTGCATTAAATAGGAACAACAGCAACAACAATTACCTGCTATGTATCGACTGCGTAAGTAAATAGCCCCAGGACCTGACATGCATCGACTGTGTAAGTAAATAGCCCCGAGAAGCAGCTCAGTAACAACAGCATTGTCAATAGAAATGGGCGTGGCTGCAACTTTGTCTTATAGTAGCAGAGTATGGCGGCGATTTGTCAAAAGGCTTGCCGCTTGGTGCTTGCATGTTTATGCCCACACCGGCAACGCCCTGCACATAAAATCCAACGTTTGTCTGTCAACTGGCACTCTGGTTAATTGAAACTGATGTCCGTGGGTGTTGCTTACACATTTGCCCAACAACGCTTGTCCAAACGCCCAAAAACGATAGCCACATTGTGTGGCTATGGGCGGTCGACTGTCAAGTGCTGCTGAGCAAGTCATTTGTCTAAATTTATGAAAGCATAGCATACTTACGTGGGCAGATCCAAATTCGCAAAATAAACCAAATAACTTGAAACACATAATTCCAATAATGTGGCTCAACACAAATAACCCTGAGCACTTCAATTTGCATTAGTAATTAAATGTTACTGCATCTATGTTAGAAAGCTGAACGGCATAAGGAAATGTTAAATCAGTTGAAGGTTTGCGTGCCTCTAGACGATAAACACGCCGTACTTTAAAGTCTGCTGTATGCTTAAATTGTTCATCCTTTCTGAGCTGTTTCATACTGTACGGGAATGAGGGAGGGCTTGAAATAGCGGACCACCATTGAAATTTAAAATGTTAATACATGTTTATATAGGCAGCACACTTTAGGTTCCCTTATAAGTTTGCCGCTGCTATGAGTGAGCAGCAAATTTTCCGTTTGTAGTCAAAGTCAGTTCTGATGATTGTAGCATGTTTTTACTTAAGCCCATTATGTTGGCGGCTTTCTCGCCCGGTAAACTTATCGCCTTTGCAATGTGTGTTATGTCGTTGCTTTGCTTTTACAACTTTTAACAGGCGAACAATGGCATAAAGGAATATGAAAAGTAATACAAAAGGACTTAAATAGAGGACATTTCTTACTGCCAAACAATTTAACTTAATTAAGCGTAAGAAATGCAATTTTATAAGGGAATTAACAAATCTGATCTCCAGAAACACATTACATACTCTAGAATCACGTCGGAAATTGTTGAACTCACTCAAGTTTCGCTTATATTTATTCTATAACTAACCACACTAACAAATAACTAAGTGGTTACAGAAGTGACAAATTTGTAGATTGAAAATGTGTTTTGGTAAAAGTTTAACCAATATAAACCAATTGTTTTTCTTATAATTATGCTGTTATATTTATAACTTAAACGTATAGTTAAATACAAATACAACTTAAGCTTGCTTTTTTTTTTTTGATAAAAACTTTAATTTTACTGTTATTATTTACAACAACTTAAATTAAACTTATAGTAGTATACAAATACAGCTTAAACTAGGAGTTCAGTCTTATTTAATTATTTATTTCATTTAATTATTAATTATTTATTCTTATATTAAATAAATCTATTGGGAAGATCAGCAGGGTGTGATCTCTTCAGCCTCCTTCTTATTACTCTTCTTCCTTTTCGTCGCCGTTTCAGCAGGCGCCTTGCTAATACGTTCACATGGGTTCGCAGACGCTCCATGTATTTCTCAGCCTGCTTATTTAGCACGTCTTCAATTAAGCTCCAATATCGTATGATTATTATACAAATAATTGAGATATTAAAAATGAAGCATACTTTTTAGGGCAGACGGCAAAATTGATTGGGGCTACACGCTTAAACTGCATTGCACTTTAAATTGATTTGATTTGGCATGCTCTATATGGACTTCCTGTGATTACAACAGTTGATGCCGCTAAGAAAGGAAACAATAAACTTTGAGCTGCAGGACCCTTCATCAAATCATAGACACATACATGTACATGAAATGTGTGTGTGGACTCTTGTTAGCTTTTGATAGAGTGTGGCATGATGGTCTCCTCTGCAAATTGAAAGGCATGCTAACTCCTCAATTGTTTCAACTCATCGAAAGCTTTCTAAGGGACAGAAGCTTCAGAGTTGCTGTTGATGGAGTGAAATCCACGAGGCGCTCAATTTGTGCAGGGGTGCCCCAAGGCAGTGTTCTCGGTCCTACCCTGTATACATTATTTACTGCTGATATGCCTGCACCGCAAGAGATCATTGGAGTAGACGAGGATGACGCACTAATAGCTACTTACGCAGACGACACTGCGGTGCTTACCAGAAGCAGAGATATTGATGTAGCTTCGGAAGCCTTACAGCAGTATGTAAGTAGTTTCGAGAAGTGGGCTCTGAATTGGAACATTGGTATCAACGCCAGCAAGTGTGCGAATGTCACATTTACAACAAGGCCGTCGTCATGCGGAGATATCACAATGTTGGGGTCCACGCTCAGTCATACAAATTCGCACAAATATCTTGGTGTAATTCTGGACAGAAGACTCAACTTCAGCAAGCATACAACAATGGTCAAGCGATCGGTCATGGCGAAAGCCGGAAAGATGGCATGGCTGCTTGCACCATGCAACAAGCTGTCCCTGCACAGTAAGGTGACAGTATATAAGTCCATATTAAGTCCAATATGGAAGTATGCGCTACCAATTTATGGCATTGCCGCTGCTTCAAACCTAAACAAAATAAGAGTTGCGCAAGCTAAAATACTCAGAAAAATATGCAACGCTCCCTGGTATATGCGCACTAGGGACATCGAAAGAGACTTATGTGTCCCCAAGGTTGGCGATGTCATTCAAATGCACGCAAGCAATTACGAGAAGCGACTCGGCAGTCACCCCAACGCACTAGCGAGGCGGCTCCTGTCCAAACCTAAGAAGAGAAGACTGAAGAAGTGCCATCCAAAGGATCTCCCCACAAGAGCCCTTGTATAAAATACATAGTATATATCATAAAATATAATCATTTTTCACGTAAAACATTGTAAATATTGTATATATGTACATAGATATAAGTGCGTCCTATAGATGCTTACTATAGACAACTTTTGTATTCCCTAACTTTCAACTAGCTTAAGCTGCCATATTGGTAGTAGAAAACTAGTTTAATAAATTGTATATATGTAAAAAAATAAAAAAAAAAAAAAAAAAAAAAAAAAGTGGACTCTTGTTGCAACTTAATTAAAATGGCGCAGCACTACTCCTTGCATTGGCTTTTTGTGGGTGGGTGCTTTGTTTCAATAATAACCGGGAGGCACAACGGGCTGGCAGTCAAGTGGAAATGTAACTGTGGCGCGAATGTGGCAGAGCTATTGAAAGTGCAGTCAGTGAAGCATGTGCAGGCACCTGTGACGCGATTCACACGCCACTTGAAAATTGTATTTTTTTCTCCACTCCGTCTCTTATATAACCCACGAGCTGGGCGAATATGAGCGAGGAAACTTTTGTTCACAAAGTAATTAATATTTATTTTCTAACGCCACGCTGGCAGCGACATTAGAGCAACCACAATGGGGGTTTACTTGGCGCAATAATGGGTTTTACGTTTCTTAAAACCATCAACTAAATAAAGAATGGGTTCACGGACTCGAACTGAAAATATAATTTGGTTACTAATTTCAATTAAGACGCAGCACGTACATAAGCCTGATGTCATAAATTACTATACACTCCTCTTTTCTTCCATACAATGTCCAATCAGAACATGTGGAGGTGCAGCGTGTGTCGACGTAAAATGGCCTCGCGAGTCTGCATACCGCAGGACTCCACAGACTCGATGCTGGATGTGCCTGTGTTGGAGGCGTTGCAGCGACGTCACTCGGACGCCAAGCTCGGCTCAAGCACGCAGACACTCGCACCCAGCAATGGGGCAGCTCTGGCACCACCGCGCAGTCCTGAACTGCGCCGCCATTCTGATGTTTCACCTGCATCGCTAAAGGAGCTGGAACGCGTAAGTGTAGCACCACCTAGGGGACTAGCAGTTTTTACACATTGTCCCCATTTTAGCAGCTAAAAGGCAACAAGACACCCGGCGGCGACAACGACTGGCGAGGTGGAGGTCGCAGCATGGCGCCCAGTCGCTCGAATAGTCCACCTCGTGGCGACTTGGACCCCGCATTTGGTGCACCCCTGTCGCGCATGCAATCACGACGCGGCTCACGGGTGGCCCGTCAACATAGCTACGACGATGACATGAAGAGTCCGGCAGTCGGTGGCAGCATGGGTGGCGGAGGTCCAGCGCTCGGTGTGGGCGCCGATGGCTCTGGTCTTGGCATACCAGCCATGCCACGCAGGTAAGTGAATCAGCAAGCGAATACACGTGCACACACACAACGAAAAGAGACAGTATCAGAGATTTATCGGTCGTAGTTTAAAGTGCAATTAAGCATATAAAATTATGTCGCCAATCCCATTTTGTAAATGGAATAAAAGAGTACTTATATTTCACAGCATCTTTGCTTCCCATTAAAAGTTCGTTTTTTTTATTCCGTTTTCCATTCAGAATACTAGCATTAAATACAGTGGATTATCAAAATAAAGTTCTAAATGTTATTCCTAAAATATTCTCTAAATGACCCTTCTCCTTTTATTTCTATACGGCACCTGCACAGCTGCTTAAAACATATATTTTCAATCTGGACGTACTCACTTAAAGAATAAGTGTTTATTTCAATAGGTTTCACTTGGATTTACTTTTTAAGTGGTACTTGTTGAGTTCAACAAGGTTGTGGTTTTCTGAACGTAAATTTATTAACAGGAAAAAAGCTCATTCTAAAAACTCTTTTTGTTAGGTTCATTCCAAGTGCAGTAGCCTTTCCCAGCAAGCTAGCGATAGCCTTAACTTGTTTGCATAGTCTTACATACTTATACATACCCGCAGGAAATCCGCTTACGATGTGTTTGCTCCGGGCCTCGTACAAGGTGCCCCGCCACCCTCACAGCTGCAACGCTCACCCGGCGAGGGAATGCCACAGATGGTACTACCGGGCTCGAGGCGGCCCTCTTTTCGTGTACCACATGCTTCGGAAGACCTGCAAAACGATGAATCGCCAGGCTCGCCAGATAAGAGCAGCCCGGTTCTGACGGTGGACGATGACCGACGCATGCGGCGGCGTGGCTCGCAACTGTAAGTAGCCACGATACAGATTTTAGCCGCAATTTGTGCTCCATGTATAGTGCCTACATAGGTCTCACCTTTGTTCTTTCTTTGCGTTTGTAGACCCGATATTGCGGCGCTACAGAATCGCGGTGCATTCGCCGCAGGTCCAGCTGCAGCTATTCCACCACCTATGGCTGCTTTCACGGGCCCCAATCTAGAGGACTTAGAGGCACCACGACGACAAACATCAATGGATGGCGAGGCTATACGTATTGTCATACACGACGTTGACTCGGGTCCGATTTGTGCATCAAAACGACGCATTGTGCTCCGTCGTGATCCCACAGACAAAGCTCATCGCAGTGAGTATTACACAGAGCTTACAAATTGAGCGTATCTTTACTGAACTGGTATTGCCTCTAATATATGTATGTATGAACAAATTCGAGTTACACTGACAGAAAAGTATAAATGGATTCTAAAAATATCGCACTTATCTAAGGACATATCTAAGTAACAAACAAGCGTATTGCTTAACAATAAGTTTTGGACTTTCCAATCCAATCAAAACGAAAAAGAAAGGTGTAGCGGCTCTGATGCGGGGGAATTTATTTGCTATGTCCTGATAGATACACTTGTACATACAAATAATATGAAAAAATGAAACGAATAGATCGTTGAAGTCCCACCAGTCCCATTTTATTATACTATGTACCCTACCCTGTCCTGTTAATAGTCAACTTTGTTGCCGTTTAAGATACTGGACCGATCCGGTTTAGTTAAAATGCCAATCATGCAAGCTAATCCATATTTTATTTTTGCCAAGTGCAGCAACATTTTCCATTAAATGAAACAAAGTTGCTACCTCCGTCCGTCGTTGTGGTCTGCCTCGTTCAGCCTCTCTGCAGCACCGGGAATGGCCAAGTAAATAAGACTCATTACAGCGTTTGGTTATGCTAATACCAAACGACCGACCGAATGTCTGACCGTCCCACCGACAACAACAACAAACCAAGCGACCGACTCACTAGTCAACCACCCTCGACTTTGCTGCCTACACCACAAGCATTTCCTCTCTGTTGTTGGTCTGTGCCGGCAAGCCACTGCGCCTTAATTCCCCAAACGAAATCGCTCGGTGGCGTGCGCTACGGCTCGGGACGACAATACGAAACGACCGTAAAGGATAATGTGGTTTCCCCCGTGGGCTCCAAATGAAACCAAGAGCGGAAGCAAACGGGTAACAGATTAAGCAACTGTATGGATTTCAACGATGTGATGGCGCTACTGCAGGCGCTCCATGAAGGTGTTGTCGAGGACAAGGACGAACCCGAGGTCACTCATTAAATTTAAAACAACAGCTGCTTGTTGCATGAGGCCTTGCCAAGGCAATTGATTTCATACACATCGTTTCTCGTTTAAATCATCCGGAAATGTTTTTAATTATATGCCATTTTTTTGCATACCTCACAAATTCTAAGAAAAAATTTTAATTATCGAATGGCCAGGCAAGTGGCAAAAAAAGAAAATCAATATAAAAAGAAATGGAAGAACATGACCAGATAGCGAAGCAAGGAAATCATCAATTATGTGAGATACATTCCATACCGCGTGCAGGCCCATACGTGCTAATAGCCGAAAGGAGAGAATTGGCATTTTTTCCATCAAGCCAATTCTGAAACGTTACACGAATCATTTCCAACGAGCTTTTAAGAAAAAATAAAAAGTGCAATACCGGAGAGCATATGCGGCTTCTAAATACAGTTTAGTATTGTAAAATAAATCAGACTTTAAAGGATTATTCTCAATTTTAAAATTGATTAATCAGCAATTTCTAGTACCGGTTTCAATGTATTCTATAGTTTCACGACATAATCATTTATAATGATCATTATTTTACCCAAATCAGGAATTCGGCTCTCGACTGTAAGCTACTAATTGCTACTTTTCTTTTAAAATCGCAAAGTGCTCGAACATTTGATTACTTATATGTATTTCAAGGTGTTGATATCGATTTGTAATGGAAGTCAACAAGAGTCTATATATTTAAAATGCAATATTTGGCGCGGAACAATTACCAAAATGTTACCGAAAGTTTGTAATTAAGAGCAATTGTTTGCAAGCCATACTAAAAATTGCGAAAAGTATGTAATCGATATGAGGGAAAATAAGATTGTAAAAGCCCTGCAACGTCAGTGGAGGGTGCACTCACAAGGCTCAGAAAAGAATGCGTTTGGAGAGAATATGAAACCAATTATATGTTCTGGGTTTTGCTTAGTTTCCCTTAATGCACCAACCTATGTGTATTAATTAACATTAATGGTCATTAGAGTCCCATTTGAATTAGTAATTGGTCGTGGGCTTGGGAGTTTATAAGAGCTCGCATGACTTTTTAATGTGATTGCATTGAGTCCAGTATTGTGTAATGAGTCCAGCATTTCTAAATAAAGAAAAAACTGAATGAGCAACTTAGCTTTGCAAAGAACAGCAACTGATCTTTATGTGGTTTTTTGATACTACTTATATAGAATAATACATTTCACGCTTACTTTTTTGGCGTTGGTTTGCAGGGTATCCAGAAGTCCGATGTCGTGTAACATTATATTCCATTTCCACAATCCACACACATTCACATTGCCTGCGGAAACTTGGCAAACAAAAAACACACAAATTTCTGAAAACTGGCAAAGTTTTACCAGCCAAGCAAATATACAGACACATGTATCTGTGTTGGCAAGAAGTTTGTGCAAACATAACTGTGTAAATTGAAAATCGATACGCCACTAATGCAACGCGTACACCCACTTACATACATATGTATATACACACACATATGTATGAGTATGTAAGCGGATGTTTCTGAGCCTGTGTAATGCGTGTAACTATCCAAACTTTATCATACTCTAAATTAGTTGGCCTCTAATATACTTAGAGTTTGCCATCCGCTTCTAGCAAAACAAAAAATTGTCCATATAGCAATTTGTTGCTACCCCGAGCAGCTGCCTTCCGAATAATTTCAATCAAAATAACTAGCCTCTGGCATTGACACCACAGCTTCACTCAAGTCAAAAAATGTCGATGCGTCTCATTCACGCAGCCAGACGTGCAGGTGCTTATATAAAATTTCAATTTGCATATCATAAAAAATGTCCATACCTGCAGATACTCGTATACCTATGCTTATATGTATATAAGACCCACGCAACAGCCACAGCCACAGCCACAACCAAACCACAGCCATGGCAATAGCAATAGCTGCATCACGCAGCGCGCTTAACGATGCACAGGGGCTCAAATAATCCAACTAACTAGATAAAAGTAAAGCAAAGGGAAGGGCCAGCACAATAAGCGAGATTTCCACATAAGTCTCATGCAAGCATCTCATTTGTATGATTTAATGAAATTATGACTGCGTTGTTATTTCCCTAAGACATAAATTCTCATAATTTTTAGCAAAGGTATATAGTTACACAAGAATATTTGAGAAATCTTTCAAGCAGATTAATAAACTAGTTTTCTAGTATTGATATAGTCGATATCAGTTTTATAAAATTCTTAAAATTCTAGTTATATGAAGTTTATAGAAAGTCTTTAGTTATTTTATTTATATAAACTGAAAGATGTGATGGCAAGTCGAGTGAGATATTGCGTTACTAATAATATGACTATATACTTGTATAATAACATATAATCAACTAATATTAATAACTAGCGTAGTCGACTTGCATTGCTGCGCCACTAAAAATGTTAGCTTTAGAACGACTTCCAATCTCAACAAAATTTGGATTTGTCGGTTTTGCATGCTTAATTGTATTTTATATATTACTTGATTATTTGTATGCTCTAATAGATATTATTATTGGTCCGCTGTAATTTGAATTTATTTTTTTTCATATTGAAATTTTGGTTTTTCAAAGGTATATCGAATAATTCCATTAATGGAGTAATTAATTTATACGGAAAACCAAAACTCTTGAAAAAATTAGATAAGTAGAGAAAAAAAATTATGTTCATCCAATCGTCCCGGAACTTACAGGATCACGCACAGTGCTATTTTGAAAATTGCCACAAAATTTGATCATACGTACTAACATTTGTATACATACATAAGATTTGATGAAGAAGGAGAAGGCGAACTCTTTATTTAAAGTCGGTTTTTTAGGATACAAATCAAATGCAATAATTCTTGAGTGTTAATCTCTTTAAACTCTGATTGGAGAGTAGGGGCTTGATTTTCGGAAGTAGTGGCAGTTTGGCCCACTGTTTGAGGCACACACAGAGAGGTGTGCGTGGGTGGCTCATATCAAGAGTTGAGCTTAAGCATGCTTCCAACGCCGTTCCTTGACTTACCTTTCTATCTATGTTGCGTGCCCGTCTTCTGCTTTGCCTGCCACATTTGGTATGCAACGAAGCAAGTGGAATTTTAATGTGCTAAACCATTTTCTTGCTAGCTTGCTTGCTGGCATTTGTTGTTATTGCCCTTGATGTTGTTGTTACGATTATTGTTGCTGCTCATGCTCTTCCGGTGTCTTACTTACCAGTGTCGAGATGAGCTAAGCAGAGGTCGGCCAACTGACAGTATTCGCAAGGCAAATGTGTTGCAATTTGCCTTGAAAAATTGAGTTGCATGTGCGCCAGAAGCAACGTTGCATGCTCAATTGTAATTGAAAGGAAGAGCATGCTGCAATTTTTCTTTATCGGCATTGGGTTTCTGTTGTCAAAGAGGGACACAAGGCAGAGCCAAATGAAAAAATTACAACTTCTGTAATTAACAAATAGCAGAAGAGACAAAAAGGCGAAAGGTTTGGAGCTACATACAGTGTTTAAGGTAAATGCATTGTTGGTAATTAGTCGAAGCTAGCTTTTTGTATGAGGAATCGGATGCCTTTTCAACTAGTCGGTTAGTTTAGTTACAAGTAATTATTCCAATATTATAAACTATCGCTTTGTATTTACATATCAGAAAAGCTGGTAGTTCGAAGAAAGAAATGTGACTCGCAACCATCATCTGTAACAGGTTTTATTTCATGTTGAATTTTAAAAGAATATAATTAGTGCTAGTTACTCCCTTTCCAAGTCAATATTGTGCGATAATATGGTAATTGCATGCAATGTATATATACTTGTAATTTCTCCAACGTACATTTTAATTGCCCCGTCATCTGACCATGACCTGTTCTTCAACGTGGCCAAAATGCGCTTGAGCACGCCTAATGAAATTTTATGCAACCTCATTTATAACCCAAAATCACATAATACTATACATACGAGTATACGAGTACAAGTAGAAGCGCAAATAACTTTCCCTTGGCCAGCTTGCGTGAGAGTGCGGCATTTCGTAGGCAACAGGTAGCGGTCAGGAAAC